AAAAAGGCGGAACTCTGTGGATGCAGCACAAATCGGCGGGGTGTGTACGTCAACGGAACTGAGACGTGGTTGAAGATATTGCCAAGTTTCTCGACGGTTAGGATATGCAAATTGCTCCCTTCTATCGCAACTATTCCTTCGAGACATTGTTCGCTTTCAAAGCCGCATCCAAATTCCAGTGGCGGGCTCGAGAGTGGAATGAGTTTCAGTTGTCCTTGCCATGTGAAAAGAAGCCACGGTCTTGAGCTCAAGCATAAAACAGCCGACTGTCCTTGGATCCTGACGTGAAACAGCTTAACTGGTCGCGATCCCAAAAGTCTAACGCGGGTATCAGTAAGCTGCCCAGTAATACTATCTACTGATGTTCGCAGCAACAATCCGGACTGTAAACCAATGGTCAAGTACAGGTTGGATTGTCCTGAAGAGGAATCGTTTAACTCCACAAGCTGCAGGGACGTTGGAGTGTAGTTGACAGCCTGCATGGATAAGCTCTGCAAGCAAGTATCGGGGTCCAAAGATACAACACGAACTGTGTTGTCTTCACATCCCACAGCTAAAAATGGACTGCGCTGTCGACCTTCAGGAACCTTGCCGATGCTCAAGCAGGTCACATTCGAAGCCATCTCCTTGCGCTCTTGGTATTCGTTTAATTGACCGCTTAAATCCAGTTCGAAGTAGACTACTTCTCCCCCGGATAGAGCGACCGCCACTTGTCGCTGGTTGCATACGGCCTGAACGATAGTTTTGTTGCCAGGAGCTTTCCATTCTGATACACGTCGGTCAGCACGAATATGGCGAATACCGCGAGGATACACTTGCACCAAGGCATCATCTCCGATTTGAGCCACGGTCAAGGTTGGTGTGGAGTTCAGAAATCCGGTGTCTGTAACTTCTTCAACAGTTTCTCCAATTGACAGCACCAGGGTAGCGTCGATAAATGATACAACAATAAACGAATCATACGCATCCCTGGAAGTCGCTTTGACGGTCCATACGGCGTTGGGATTTCCAGGAAGCTCACTGACAGCCATTTCTGAAACCTCGAGGCCATGGCGCATGACCCTGAACGTGCTTCGCGCTCCCCGTCCACACAGGGCGTATATTTGCGGCGTTTCATCTTGCCCCAAGTTCAGCACCTTTGCATCGATGAGAGGCGCGGAAGACTCCATTTCATCAACCAGTGCTAAGTTTCTGAGGCCGCGTGGATTGAAGTAGACCGTTACGTCCTCGTCTTGAGGTAATGTAGCACTCTCAAACTCAGTTTGCTCCTCATCATCGTCTCCAAGATTTTCAATCTGATAAAGGTAATGATTTCCAATTTCACTTGCCAAGAAGAGAAATCCGGTCTTGAGCAGGCACATGGAATTAGCGACCGACAGAGTATCAAAATATTTGATGCGCAAATTTTGAATTCCACCAATAACACCATCCGCCCCAGCTTCGTAGTCCAGAGTAATCTTGAAAATGTCACCTTCCTCAGTTTGCGCAAGTATGAAGAATCCCCTTTTCAATTTGTGCGTGACTGCTGAGATAATTATGATTCCTCGCAGAGAATCACTGTCTTCTCCATTTGCGCCTCCGACTGGATTGTATAAAGGCCCTGGCCTTCTAGGAATTGGTACTCTTGCTGCAGGGTAATCTGGATGTCTCCATGTAATGTAGCCTTCCGAGCAGACAAGAACGCCGCTAGGGCCGTCGACCCCACCGGGCACCTGAATTAGCATATTACTTCGTGGATCCACGGGATCACTCCATTTACGCACGACATGATTAAGCCCAAGATCCAACTCGTAATATGTCAGCACCTTTTCCGAGCTTTGGAATGCCTCCCCAGTCGGATCTTGATCAACCTCACTGTAGTCAACCTCGATTGCTGCAAACACCGGGTTTTCAAATCCCACATCCACGCCAACAAGATCATGCACCAGGGTAGAGGATTTATGCGCCTCCAGCGGCGATGATATTGTCAGACGAGTTGTGGCATCGCGGTTCAGGATGTAAACCAGTTTCTGTTTCTCAATTGCGCCTATACGCTAGCATTAAAGAATGGAATTTAGGACTCAAAGCACAGCGTGGGAGCTCACCAATCATCACCGCTCTTCCTTTCGGATCCGCTGCGAGATACTGTCCTGGCACAATACGTCGACATCCGGTCTTTCCGTATGTTTCTTCGTGTATTTTGTCAAACACATTTTTGTCGGGGTTATACTCGAATATTACAATTCTCCCGCTATCTGATCCCACTACGATATAATCTAGAAGGGGTATTTTAGCGAAGTTGTTTCATCATTACCAGATTATAAGCAATGCCATAGACGTACCTTTAGAACCACCGGTCAAGCGAAAAGCTTTGAGGCTTCTAATTACTCCAAAAACACAAGTCTCCACTAGACTCTCTACTTTTCCCGTCGTATGATCTGGTCTCAACAATTCCAACCAGGTGTCCCGAGCGACAAGAACTTCTTGCTGTTTTGTACCAGAGAAGTTACCAAGCACAGCGGCAGTTATAGCGGTCGGCGCAGATAGGGACAGGTTATATAAGTGCATGGTTGGTCTACCACCCGGCTGCGTCCTCAATGAGCGTTTCCTTGTAGAGTTTTCGACGAAGCGAGCATCTTTCAGACTGTGGATGGATCATGTCAACGATAACAAGTGTCACGTGGCCTACAATTTCTTTATCGATGTCACTGAGTCTGAACAGGTCGTGTTGAAGTTCAACTGCAAGTCGCTCAAGAACGTCTTAAAGGCGAAGCTAATCTACAAACATGGCATAGAATATCCTCTCCTTCTCAGCAACCCATATGCAAGTAACTGGGACGAGGTTTCGTGGGCAAAATAGTAGAACGGATATAAAGGAGCGCGTAGATGGAAATGACACTATTGCGATATGCAACGACGAACATGATATTATGGTAGTACTCTTGGAGAGTTATGCAGTCTATCTGTATGAAGGCTACTCACCGGACTCAGCGACCAGTCCGATTTGGCGTGCAAACACTTGCATTGCCTTCGCAGCTTGCATCACGGCCTTTATCTACTTGCTTCACTTCTTGATGACCCGATATATTCTGAGCAGCGAGGAAAGGAAACCGCTCCGTTTCCTAAACACCGTGAGGCTCATTTATGCTGGCGTTACCTTTGGGAATACCCTTCCCGCTTGTCTGTATCCCTACATTTTGAACGCTGGCGTGTCATGCGAGGTCCGTGGCGGAATCATCACCTTCCTGAAGATCGTCGAAATGTGTGGGTTTGACTGTTATATCGCTCCTACCTTGAAACTTCTGATGGAGCTTATGCATCCTAAATTATTCATTTGCTACGGCCATCTATGTGGGCGTTCTGGCCGTCTTACCTTTCCTGACAGTACTTACATTGTTCGCTGGCGAGCGGTTTGTGTGGCGAATCAAGGCACCTTCTCGGGCTGTAATTTAATCTGAAAGCCTTCGGTAGGTTTCGACTGTCAGGTAAAACGGGGGCAAGGCTTCGGAATGGCACTCTCTTCGGTGTAATGCTGGTGCAACTTCTGCTTATGGCCGCTGAACTGGGAACATCAGAAATTCTGGAGACTTCATGGGGGTGAGTTTTGGGTCCTTTCAAAGCTGTGCCGCAGCAAGAAACCAAATCAAATCGGACTTGGGATTGTATCCATTTATCTATGGCAATTCATCAGCAAATATGTATCTTTGGGGCATCGTTCTCTATGATGAGTGCGTGATAGTTTCTGATAGTTCAGGACGAAAGTCGCTTGAACACCATCACGCCGTGTATATCCTTTCTCATGCGCGACTACTTGATAATGTTCAGATTGCAGAGCCGCGGCCTCGCTTACTTCAGCTTGATCAACGGTAGAGCCTAGGCTAGTAATTCCCTTTATGCAGGCACCATCTACGTGATATTCAATGTCACCGCCTTCGCTACCGCGTTTATTAGTACGGATGCTGAGAGTTTCGACCGTGTTGCGGCAGTAGCGACGATGTTGTCAACGTGCGGCTTGCTGATGCACATGTGGTGCCTAATAATCGACAGCGGGACGACACATCGAGTTGTGATGTTCTCCCATAAGGCAGACAAATTGGGGAGCACGACGCATATTGATCTTCAGATGGTCGTGTCTGCAGGGTTCGCCTGCCGCAAACCCAGATTCACTTTTGGCGTCGACAGCAATAGGTGACAGTTCCAAAGCCACGCCTGGATCCGTAGGAAGAGCGTAGCGAGAAGCAGCAAGAGCACCGCAAAGCAGGTACGAGAGACGTTGAAAGTGCATCTTCGTCCGTCAGCGTGCTCCCAGTGAAATAGAACCGGCATGTAAGGCCAGATCTAGGTTACAAGTGAGGGGACGGTGAAGCGTCTCTATTTATGTTCGTCGGTCAAGATGCCGAGGTTGTTGGTGACGCTTGGTTGCCTTGGAATGTTGTGGATATGTAACGTATCTGGTTAGAGTAGATGTGTTGCACCGAGAGGTAGCTACATCAATCTATATTCGGTGGCTGCAAGATACACGCCGGAACGAATTCTGACGGGAACCTGACGGTGGGCAGACGGATTCCCTTTGCAAAACTTGCTATTGACTGCAGTCTGTATCCCGTCAGGTCAGCAACGGAAGGGGGACATTTGTCGGAGTGCCGTCTGCACGTTGAACCAGGATACTGTCTGCACTGACGTTTCGTGCACCTATGTACATGCCATTCTACTCTGAATCTGAAGCAAAAGCACTGACCTCAGAGAAATCCGAACGGCTATCAGATTCTACAGAAGCATTATCCACCCTAAACTCACTCAAACTCCTGTTGACACGCACGTTTCCTAGCTTCTTTCCATCAAATGCAAGTTCAAAATTCCTTTGAATCTCTTTCATTCATCCAGAGGCCTGCGTCGCACTGATTCTCTCCAATCCGCCAGCAACTGCAACTTGTTGTACCAATGCAGGCAGCGTCTGAATCTACAGGTGGTCGACACTCACTTACTTTGAGTTATAATTAGAGCGCCAGTCCAAAATAAGGGACGGTGTAGTCAAGTGGTCTACGACGTTAGCCTCGAAAGCTAATCCTCTTTGAGGGCGCAGGTTCGAATCCTGCCACCGTCGTTTTTATCTCTTTCCCAGTTTGTACGCGGATTCTCCGTTCTTTGGAGCGGGTTTGGGCCAGACCATCACGCTGCCACATTTTGAGCTGGGGGCATAAGCAACAATGAGTTATGGATGGCTTACATATACACACGTTCCAAATATACGGAAACCTTTTCGTCGTGTGTGAGTGGGAAAACGGCAGCAGCTCTGGTAAACTTGTGACGGTTGTTGAAAAGCTTCAGTCACCTTGTACCGTCTGACTGTTCGGCAGCCTGTAGAGCTTTGAACCATTTGGTAATTTGGAGGAGAAACAACCACGGGTCAGTGAGAGTAACGTCATCAGTATGCATTGTAAAGCATAGATGAGGTTAGTTCCTCTTGGTAAAATAAAGGTGGACTACTACCACGTCCGCCACTACGACGGACCAACTCATGACCGCATAGGGCCCAGGTAAGATCCGTTATTGTGCCCTTTCAAAGTTCTGGTAATCGAAAACATATTCCAAGTACTGGATGTTCTTTGGCGAAACGATATCATGGTACTGACGCAAGCCGTGGCTATCACCTGTTCAACTGCCTTTCTTGAGGCGTCATTAAAGAGATCTAAATAGCTCATGCAATATTAAGCATTGCTCAATTCATTGCCAGTTTCTGGGAGTGTTACGTTCCCACTTCGTGCCAATACCCGCTGTTGCCGTTAGGTAGGGTTGGGCTTCATATTAAATACATATGCCATCCGGCATACGGTGGAGGGAGAGTTTGCCGATCGAAGATGACAATGTAATCATCCTAAACAGATTCCAGACCCAATAATCCGTTAACCCGTTTGCAGTTATTAATCAATTCCTCGTCGATAGGCGCAATTCATCGCGCACTCAGTTTTCTTGGTTGAGTTTATAGCTCTCAGATGCTCGTTGATCCGTTACGTACCATTTCCTGCAGGCGATGAACATTACAAGCCATGGCTATGTGAGAACGCTCAGATCCTCGCCATGCCACTACGCGGGAATCCCACTCGTTCGAGGTATTTGTTCGGATAGCATGCGATAACCGTTCAAGCACAGAAATCGATGCGTTTTCTCATGAGAATTCTGTGTCGAGCTCTGATAGGTTTTAACTGTGACAGTAAACATCATGCGTACCGCTTTCTTGGGAACCTTACAAGGATAAGCCAATCGGTACTCATCGTCATTTGCTGAGAAGTTCTTGCTTGATCTCGCACCCAGCTCTACGTGCATCCATACCTGGTCAATGTTCGCTCCGCTTTCACATTCCATTTTTGCTGTAACAGCTCTTATATGAGCTAAAGCATCTTCCCGCATCCGTCTTTAATACGTCGATAACTATAGTACATAATGATGAGAGAGATCACTATACGAGCGAGGCGTTTGTTAGTGCACACTTTACAGAGCTTACATGCAAATAGGAATCATTGAACGCGAAGACCATGAATCAGATCATAGTATGATGCTCGTATGGGACTCCCGACCAATAAGGACGTTTGCTTTGGCAATATCTAAGTCGCTCGTAGATGTTGGAATAACGCCCATGTGTGCGGAATGTCAGCGCAATATCCGTGAATCTGTCAAGCCCCAGAAGCGCCGAACAGGAAAACGGCGGACTTTCATGCAGTGGATTCCTGGCTAATGATTCATTACAATGTGACCAATATCAACATGGGGGTCTACATACAATACACCTATTTACAAGTGTTGCCGAGGGCTTTCATCGCCCTACTATCTCTACTTCCCTTGAGTGGTTCGAGATTGGAGCTATCCGAATGCAGTAGCTTCCGCCTTTATTTTCCATGAGCTTGCCATAGCGGGTGTCGATATGAAACCCGTCAGCATGTATGACCGTTTGCTTCTCGCCTGCTTCCGTAATGGTCCTTTGATATATCACAAGAAACAAGTCTGGAGGTGTATCCCGGCTGGTGGCTCGATAGGCGAAACGGACGCCGTCCTCGTTAGCAATGAGGTAAACAAGGACATTGTAAGGATTATTGCGAGCGACATCGATTGTGTTGTGGCAGTTTGCAGGGATAGCGACTTCACCAATAAAATGGGCATTCTTGCTTCCTGAATTTTGAGTAGAAACAGATGTAGCGAAATTCACCATTGTGGAACGACCGGATTGCTGTAAGGGATCTGAATTCGCCTTTGGCCGTTGAAGGTCGCGCTGTTATGATCCTTTTTATATAACGGCGGGAAAATAATGGAACCTTTTTTTCATTTATTCAAATTTCTAGGATCCTGGATCCCATCCCATCCAAGGAGGCGGATCCCTTCCTACATGGTAAGAAATTTATTGACCTGAAATAGCAACGGCGTTGGCCAACCGTTGAGAGTTTGACACTTTTGAGAGGACAAGCCATACGTTGGGAGCTTCTAATAGTTGTGAGAGTTGACAGCCATCTAGCCGACGCGAGCGGTGACATTTGCATTGACTAACCTGCGAATACACACGGGTCCGTACGAAACATTCCGTACTCAAATCTCGACTCCCAAGATTTTCTTCGAGGAACGTTACAAGAAGATGGGCTTGCAAGAGGGAGCTTCTGTTTTGTATTTTCGCAGTTGTCGGAGTACATGCGCGCGCACACCAACGGTCGGAGTTGTTATGTAAGCCACCAACGCGTGGTGCGGGCTTGCAGCTTAAAAGCCCGTTGGTGGAAAGTACAAAGTATGGCGGTCGGATCTCTCTTGAACTGTTTGTTCCTATAGCTCCACGCTTTCTAGCTTCTTAGAGTCCTTGATGGAATCAGCTCGCACTGCTATCTAGAATGCCTGCGCCGGAGAATTGGATCCATCACCCTGCCGCCATTGTCACCGGGGCAAGTAGAGGTATTGGTAGAGCAATTGCGATTGCTTTTGCTAAAGAAGGGTCAGCGGTTCTTGGGCAAAAACATTGAGAAGGTGCACTGATAACCATTGTTGACCAGCTTTCACCTTGGGCTCATCTCCACTAACTTGGAGGAGCTTTCTGAAGTTAAATGCGCATGCCTCGCAGCAGGTTCAGCGGACGTGCTCGCTTTACCTTGCGATATCCAAAATGATGCCGAAGTTCAGAGTGTGGTAGAAGGGTTTATGCGCCATTTTGGTTCCTTAGCGTTGCTTATCAACAATGCGGGAGTTGGAAATCTTTCAGATCCGTTAAATGCGACATGGAACAATTGGAATGATATTGTACAAACCAATATGGTTGGAGCCATGAGAATCACAAAACAATGCCTGCCGATGTTACGGTCTTATGCCAGAACACGAGAGCGTTCCTGCATTCTCAACATTGCGTCGACTGCTGCGTTGCGGCCACAAGCCGGCACTGTACCATATGGGCCGGCGGAAGCTGGATTACTTCATTTCAGCAACTCTCTATTTGAAGACGTTCGCGGAAGTGGCATTAAAGTCTGTGCCATAAGCCCAGGATGGGTAGAAACCTCCATGACGGCTGGCACTCCCGCAAAGAATCACAAACATTTCATGCGACCTGAAACGGTTGCAGAAGCAGCTTTGTTTGTCTGGAACTTCCCCAGAGATGGGTGTCCTACTGAGATAGTCATTCGGCCGCAACTGAACACCAACCTACCTATCAGTGGAGGTCTTATTTAATGTTCTTAAGGATGAATAAAATATGGAAGCATTGTGCGATGTATGACTTTGCCGCAGAGTTCAGGCACAGCCACGGGCGCCCCTGACACGACCATGTCCCACTCCTCAAGATGCTCAATTCAACATAAGTCCGTTTTCAGCGAACTGGCACCAGCGATTGTCGTGAATTGACGTTAAGCAAACATGGCGGAGGGTTCAGAGATCTTTGATACATACCAGAAGGAGTATGATAGCTTACATGAGTCTCTATTGCGTAAAATTGAAGGAGTGGGGGTCGCAACTGGAGGTACTATCGTTCGTCGCTGTTGAATAAGTCTCGACAGGTGGCTGATTATGGGTTGTAGAACAGAAGAAGCTCTTGTACAATCAAGCAGAACGTGAGCTAGAAGAGGCAGAAGAAATTATATCACAAATGGAAGTAGAACTGTCATCCTTGGCGCAAGCGCCGCGAATGCAACTTGCGCCCCGCGTGCGTTCTCATAAGGAGGACATAAAATCATTGCGACAGTCACTACAGAAGCATGCAAGTGATCGCGACCAACTCCTTGGCCGTCCCGGTTCACATGTGGTCGATTTTGAGGTATCATCTATGGATCAAAGGGGTAGGTTACTAAATGGGACAGAACGACTACAGGATGGGTCGAGGAGGTTAGAGGGAGTCCAAAGACTCGCTCTAGAGACAGAGGCCATTGGAGTCCAGACACTGGATGACTTGAATCGTCAAAGAGAACAGATTCGTCGAACACAGAACACTCTTTCTACCGCAGACACTTGGGTAGCAAAAAGCCAAGGAGTTCTCAGAGGGATGCAACGCCGGTGAGTACCATGGCTAAGTCTACCTGCTATTTCAGGCACTGGCGTTTTTACGTTCTTGTGATCTTTGTCTTTGTGCCATGCACTTAGATGGGTTGGTTGAGACTGACTGTACACCTCTCCCTATGTAGACTTGTTCAGAACAAAATACTGTCTTACGGAATTATCACATTGTTGATCATCATTATCTTAGCCATCATCTACCTAAAATGGTTTTGAATATTGAAAATGGAAAGGGCTACATGCATTACCACTATTGCGCGTATTCTAAACGAAGTGCTACATGGCTCTCTATAGCTATGAGCAACTGCCGCATATGATTGACGGCCCTCCGACCAAAGTGCTTCAGTACGGTTTCATCCTCTGTCTGCGACGTTAAATCAACAGAGCTTCAGTAAGCTACGGGGATCGCATCACAATGCCCTCCCAGAGGTTTTCCCAATCCTTTGGATTGTTTAAGGTTGGGGAGTGTTCGCGGTGCGAATGGTTAGTGTCCTGTGGGGATGCTGCAAGTTCGTGTCGGACCGCCGACGACGGTGAAGGTGACGACAAGGATAACGGATTTGGTGCCGAATCTTCTAATCGTCTTTTGCCAAG